TAATTATTGATACCATTTCTTTTCTATGTTTAGGCCTATTTGGGCAGATTGTGTCGCTCAAGGAATTGGTCCATTTCATCAGCATTATCAAATGTGTGGGTTTAGATTTGCTCAAAGTATTCTTTGATTATCCATTTAATGTTCATGGGATCTATAGTGATATCTGTCTTTCATTTCTGATAGTTGTAATTTGTGTTCTTTCTCTCTGTTCTTTAGCAAGGCTGGCTTATCAATTTTATTGATCTTTTCAAATAACCAACATTTTTCTTTGATTTTTTTTTTTTCTATTGTGTTCAATTTCATTGATTTCTCTAATTTTATTGTTTATTTTCTTCTGCTTACTTTGGAGTTGACTTGCTTTTCTTTTTCTTGTTTCCTAAGGTGGGATCTTAGAGAATTGACTTTAGATCTTTCTTCTTTTCTAATATATACATTCAATGCTATGAATTTCCTCCTAAGTTTTGCTTTTGCTGCATCTTACAAATTTTGATAATTTATAGTTTCATTTTCATTTAGTTAAAAATATTTTAAAATTTGTTTTGAGATTTCTCCTTTAACTCATATGTTATTTAGAAGTGTGTTACTTAATCTCTAAGTATTTGGGGGGTTTTTAAGTTATTTGATATTGATTTCCGATTTAATTCTATTGTAAGCTGAAAAATCATTGTATGATTTCATTCTTTTAAATTTGTTAAGGTGTGTTTTATGACCCAGAATATTGGCAAATGTTCTGGGTAAACTTGAGAAGAATGTTTATTCCACTGTTACTGGATGAAATAGTCTGTAAAGGTCTATTAAATCCAGTTGATTGATAATGATGTTGAGTTTCACTACATCCTTACCAATTTTCTGCCTGTCAGTTGTATCAATTTCTGATACAAGAATGTGGAAATCTTCAATAACAATAGTAGATTCATCTATTTCTCTTTGCAGTTCTATCAGTTTTTGCGCCTGTATTTTGATGCTGTTATTAGGTATATAGGAAGTGTTTTATAGTCTTAGAGAATTAACCCCTTTATCATTATGTAATAATGTTTTTTGTCCCTAATAACTTTTCTTGCTATGAAGTCTGCTCTGTCTGGAATTAATATAGCTAATTTCATTTTTTAAAATTAGTGTTAGCAAGGTATATCTGTGCTCTACACATTTACTTTTAATATATGTGTGTCTTTATATTTAAAGTAGAATAAATAAAATATATAATTGATAAACAATTATATCATTGAATTTTTTTTATCCACTCTGACAACCTGTCTTTTCATTGGGGTATTTATACCATTGATGTTTAAGTGATTACTGATATAGTTGGATTACTGTTCCCTATATTTGTTTCTCCTCTCTATTTGTCACCCTTGTTCTTTGTTCTGGTTTTTGTCTTCTACTCTTTCCCCACAGTTTTTGGATTTCATGGAATATCTTATGTGATTCCTCTTTTCTCCTCTCTTAACGTATCAGTTGCATTTCTTTTTTTTTAACTTTTTTTTAGTGGTTGCTTTACTGCTTGCAATATGCATGTACTCCTAATCCAAACCCATGTTCAAATAGTACTATACTCCTTCCTGGGTGGTGTAAGTGCCTTATAGTTTAAAAAAAAAAATCTGTGTTTCTCTCTCACATCCCTTGTATCATTGCTGCGGTTTATCTCGCTTATATAGATGCTTATCTAATGTGTATACTTATGGATACATAGGTGACTACATTGTCACCATTATTGTTATCTTAAACAAGCTGTTACCTATTAGATCATTTAAGAATAAGAAAAATGAAATTTTTATCTTCACTCATTCATTCTCTTATGTTTCACATTATTTTATTTATTTATTTATTTTGAGTTGGACTCTCACTCTGTCACCCAGACTGGAGTGCAGTGGCATGCTCCCGGCCACCGCAGCCTCGACCTGCTGGGCTCCAACCATCCTTTCGCCTCAGTCTTCCAAGTAGCTGGAACTATAGGCGCGTGCTACCACGCCTGGCTAATTTATTTGATTTATTGTAGAGATGAGGTCTCACCAAGTTCCCCAGGCAGGTCTCGAACCTGCGGTCTCAAGCAGTTCACTCACCTTGGCCTCCCAAAGCACGGGATTACAGGCTGAGCCACCGAACCCGGCCATGTTCCACTTTAATATATCAATCTTAGTTTCTGGCCTGTATAATTTTTCATCTCTCTAAAGAACTTCTGTTAACATTGTTTGCAAGGTATGCCCACTTTATTCATGAGAACTCTTTGCCTGTTAACCATAGTTGCTTTAAATCTCTTTTCTGATATGTTCAATATCCCTGCCATATCTGAGTCTGGTTCTCATGCTCTTCAGTCTCTTCAGACTGTTTTTTGCCAGTTTATATGTTTTGGCATTTTTTCTTGAAGGCTGGACTAATGTCCTGGGTAAAGGGATGAGTATAGATAGGCATTTAGTAACAAAGTGGTGAGGTGTCAGGGCGGGAATCCTTTTGTAGTCCTGTGATTGGTTCTCAGTCTTCAACGAGCCTGTTCCTCAGGACTGGATAGGTGGGACTGTTAGGTGGGCCCAGATGCTAAAACAGCTGGCAATTTCTCTTCCTTTGCATGGAAGAATAGAGCCAACTGCGGCTGGGTGTCTTCCTTCTCCCAGGTCAGTTAGGCTCTGACGTCACCCCAACACTCTGGTGACATATTCACACCATCAACCAGCACCTTATCGGTCACGCCGAAGCTCTCCTATCCTGGCTCTGGTCCTCTCGGAGGCTCTAGCTTGTGGGTTCCTTCTCCATTGAGTTGCAATTCTCCCTGCTGATTTGTCCAATTTGGGGGCAGGAGTTTGCCTTGTAACCTCACTTCTCTTCTAGATCTAAGAAGAATGGCTTATTTTTCAGCTAGCTCAGTGTTTTACTTGTCAGGATGGAGTGTCTATTTGAGGCTTCTTTTTATGTGACTCTTCAGTTGTCCCAGCACCACTGGGTTGTAACGACTGTTCCCCCTTGAAGTGTCAGGTGCCTGTGATGGTCATCAGTTCATTAAATATAAGAGTTTATGTCTGGACTCTCAATTCTACTCCATTGATCTGTGCATCTGTCCCTTTACCACTACCACCCTGACTTGATGACTGTAGCTTTGAGTGCGTTTCCAAACTGGGAATTATGAGTCTTCCAAATTTGTTTTTCTTTATCAAAAAAATTTTTTTTCTATTCTGGATGCCTTGAACTTCCATATAAATTTTAGGGTCTGTTTGTTAATTGGTGCAAAGAAGGTGGCAGGAATTTTGATAGTTTGATGGTTTTATTTCATTTTACAGGTAGCTATAGCATTGTCATTATGAAAATAAATAATGTTTTTTAGTATCCCGATTTTCTCTTTTCTTCTAAAAGATCAATGACATTCCCATCTTCTCATGCTGCCCCCAAATTATTTGAATGCTGTTGTCACTATCATCTGTTTATTGTGAAATCTTACTAGTCAGTTAAGTAGAGTTTTTTCCCCCATAATTCCCCAGCTCCAAGAAAATACATTTGGTTTGCCTTGTTTGTGTTTACTAAACAATAGTTTCTCTCTTGTATTAACATCTTAGATAAAGGATTAAGAGGACTTTTACTCAGAGACCAAGAGTGTAATAGGAGTTGTGTAATGGGAAAATGGACAGAACTGTCAGATAAAATAGCAGGGTCTGCTTAAAGCTCTGTACCTCCAGGGATGTAATTTGATAATTTTATTGTAATAAAACTAAGTGAGCATCTATTACTTACAGCAGTGATAGAGTTATTTTTGAAACAGTTTACCTTAATAATTTTTTAATGTAAGTAGTCTACCACATGTAGTAATTCAAATATGACACTTGATTATTATATGACAAAAATAAATGGCATGAAATAAAATTGTGGGACATTAACGTGGAATGGAAGGAGTCTCTGGGACACCAGAGCACTCTGTAAATCTTGGGTGAGTAAAAGTGTGAAAGAGAGGAAACCCCGCCAGGAGCCACTGCTTCTAGGCCCAGGCCCCTTCTGTAGGGCTGGGTCTAGTTAATTCATCAATTCAAAAGGATGAATCCTGCTTCCAAGGTAGGCTGGGTTTTTTTGGTGTTTCTAGTTTTCTTTTTTTTTTTTTGAACCATACTGTGTTATCTTTAATTAGGTAAAGATCTTTTTACCACGTCACAGAGACCATTTCACCCACTGCTCTGTTTGGCTGCCAGTCTTTTGTCTCTCCAGCAATGGTGAGGCGGATACCTTTTCCTCGGGGAAGAGAAATCCATGGTTTGTTACCTTTGCCAATAACAAAAATGTTGGAGAGCCGAGTGGCAAAGCCGTTGCCATTGGCTTCTTTTACATGAACCACATCAAAAGATCCAGGATGTCTTTCTCTGTTGGTGATCACACCAATTCTTCCCAGGTTAGCACCTCCAGTCACCATACACAGGTTACCAGTGTCAAACTTGATAAAATCAGTAATTTTACCAGCCTCCAAATCAATCTGAATGGTGTCATTCACCTTGATGAGGGGATCAGGGTAGCGGATGGTGCGAGCATCATGAGTCACCAGATGAGGAATTCCTTTTGTGCCCACAAAGATCTTTCTTACTTTGCACAACTTGTACTTAGCCTCCTCAGGTGTGATACGATGAACAGCAAACCGACCCCTGGTGTCATAGATCAGGCGGAAATTCTCTCCAGTCTTGTCAATGCTGATGACATCCATAAACCCAGCAGGGTAGGTTATATCAGTTCGGACCTTGCCATCGATCTTAATGAACCGCTGCATGCAGATCTTTTTTACTTCATCTCCAGTCAGAGCATAAGTAAGTCTGTTTCTTAGAAAAATGATGAGAGTGAGACACTCTCTCAGCTTGTGGGGACCAGTGGATGGACGAGGAGCAAACACACCGGTCAATTTATCCAGCATTCAATGCTTTGGAGCTGCTACCTGCTTCAGATGCTTCTTGGGACCATGAGCCATGACTGTGCAGGGCACGGAAAGAGGTGTTTCTAGTTTTCTTAAGAGCTAACCTGAGAGTTTCCCATGTTTGCAGTGTTTATGTCACCGTTGGTGCCGATGTCCCATTTTCTTCTTGTTTACGAGAAGTTGAAAACCCGCAGAACCAATTGCGATGCAGTCAGGAAATGGAGCCTGCAATAACCTGTGATAAAAAGTTCCGTGCTCAGTTTTACATCGACTGGTGCAAAATTTCATTGGTGAGTTTTTGTTTTGTTTTGCTTTTGCAAATGTACATAAGTGGTGTGTCCAGAGAGAACATTGGACTAAACCTTGAATTGGTTTTAGGAACAAATCCTGGGTTTGCCTTGTTAACAGTACTTGACTTCCCTTGACTGTAAGGATTTGGTGAGCTTATTGGGAACGCATCCATTTAGGAAAGAGAATCTCCACTTTTGTACTTACTGCTGCCCTAAGTGGTTGCCAGGACTGGATTAGCTGAGCAAGGGGTCCAAATGCACACCCTGGACGTCCCTGTAGCTGCTAAGACAGCACAGATCATAGAGTTAATGTGATATGTGCAAAAGTTTCTTCTTAAATATGCTGCCATTACCCTACTCTGGAAGGAGAAAACAGAGAATGATGATAAATCTGAAAATAAAGCAACATTATGCTATGATTCAATGTCCTGGGGACTCAAATCACAGGGCAAGTTCAAGGAACAAGAAACAATTCCAAGAAAGAGAGTTAGAATCTTATCCACACTTCGTACGCATTCAGTATTTCTTTCTTTCTTTTTTATTTGCCTGCTGAATTGAAATTCAATTAGAAAAATTGTAAGATGTGTATAAATATGTTTTATGTGTCTGTAAGATATAATATTTTGATCCAGCTATTCAGAAGGCAGGAAAGTTCTTTTAATTCCTGACCTTTAGATTTAACTTCTGTCAACTCTTTATGATTGGGAATGAGTGAACTGGATCTAAGTTTAAAGTTGACATTTGAGCAAAGTTATTGACACATACACACAGCTCTCCCTTCACATCTGAGCAGCTGCATGCTGGCAGCGAAGACACGCTACTCACGTGGCTACACTTAGCACCCCACATGGCCTCTGCCCTAGTACTCTCATCCTCACATCCCTGGAGGCTTAGGAAAAACAGCCTTTCTCTGCCGTCCTAAGTCAAGTACAATTAATAGCGGTGGTTTATATGTATTAGAGGTGAACTTGCAAAGTTCAGTATTGCAGTCGTGGTGCTGATCAGTCCAGGGGCAGGGCTGAGCACCTAAGGTGGAGAGAGGCCTCTCCCAACAGCACCTGCCGCCCCCTACCACATTGTTTAGCTCATGGTTGGACTATAACACAAATTTACATTTAGGAATATCATCTCCCTTCTAAGAGTTTAAAAATGATGTATGCTTTGAAGTTTCGTTTTAGGTAGTCAGGTATTATAAATGGAAAAGTTGGGAGTTTTTATTTTTTTACTTTACACGTATCTATTTGAATCATAAAAAAATTAGAAAGCTTAAGTAAAAGCCATGTGAGAAACATAATAAAAAATACATAAAGGAAATAGAAAATCAGTACTAAACTTTACCCCCCCAAACAAGCAGAAGGCCAAGTTTGACAATGAGCCTCCTGATATGCAGGACCAAAAAAGGAAATTCATTCGTTATTTCGTTCTCATTCCTGAAAAGGTGGAGTGTCAATTCCTCGCAGAAGGCAAGGTTTCTACTAACATTGTTTCATTAACAGAATTCAGTGCTGCAGGTAATTCTCCTCGCAGTAGTGGGTATAGAACAGATCTCACAAGGCCATGTTTAGTGTCCTTCAGTACAGACTTCAGCATCCTTACATGCAATGCAGTGAAAGCAGCTCAGTGAACATGGAGAGCTGTTCACATCCTGCAAGTGTTGGGTGTTTTTTGATCCTGGGCTAGAATTTAGTGAGACTAAGTAGCAAGGACAGCTTCTGCATTCCTTGGACTATCTCTACTAAAAGTTACTTCTGTCAGCCGGATGGCAGAAAGATCCAGATTGTTCCCCCTTTTTTCCTTTTCTCTCTCACTAAACTTAGAACTCATGCCCGCATACCTGGGTATCAGCTGGTTCAAGGTTTATTCACATCCACACTGGAGGTTTGTCACTAGGGAACAAGAACTGTGCAGAGCAGCATGAGAGACAGCTGCTTTGGGGAGGGAGACTGAAAAAGAGCAGGCTGGTACATGTGCGCACGTGTGTGTGTGTGCACACCAGGATGGGGAAGAGGGAGGGAGGAGGCCAAGGCAAAGCCTTTCCTCTCTCATTCATTACCTCTCCTAGTCCAGTAAATAATTGCAAGTTCAAGTTGATAACATAACTGGAAAAGATGACTTTGTGATAACTTGTCAAAGCATGTTTTGGCATGTTCAGATCTTTAAAAATCTCACAATGTCTGCAGCTGTGAATGTGATATGTAATTGTCTTCTTTTACATCAGGTGGATAAAACGAAGCAGGTGTCCACCTATCAGGAGGTGATCCGTGGAGAGGGGATTTTGCCTGATGGTGGAGAATACAAACCCCCTTCTGAGTCCTTGAAAAGCAGAGACTATTACACGGACTTCCTCATTACCCTGGCTGTGCCCTCGGCAGTGGCCCTGGTCCTTTTCCTAGTTCTTGCTTATGTCATGTGCTGCCGACGGGAAGGCGTGTGAGTACTTTAAGGCACTAAGAAAAGTTAGCGTGCTTGCTGAGACAGCAGTGCACAAGATCCCACTGAAAGCAAAGTTTTGTTTAGTTCATAAAACACTTTAAATGAATTGAAATTTTGTTCAAGTCATACTGCAGGACTTTATCCCTTTAAAATGAATTAAAATAGTTTTGAGTCTAATAAATCAAATTAGGGGATATAATTACTTTACTCAAAAACTATTAAGGCTAAATGTAAATTCATTCTGGCAAAACAGTCCCAAGAATAGTCGTGCTCGATATTTTGGTTACACGAGCCACCTTGTATGAGCAGAGACTGCAGAATCTATTGACATGGTAATTGCACTTGAAATAAATAAATAATCTTAGTCAGTTTGATCAGAAGTGATGGTCAGAATTCTTCTTGAAATTGTACTGCTGTCAAACAGGGTGACACAATCTAAATGTTTAAAAGATATTTTAAAAACCAACTGAGGAGTAAATTAATGAAAATTAGGGATAATTTGAGTAATGAGCCTTCATGAATAGTTAGTACTTTCAGGACATCTGTGTCAATGCAGCTATCTCCTGAGAGTGTCTGGAAATCAGGGTAACAAAGCAAAGGATAAAAAATTAATAAAGCAGCAAGTCACACATTATTCCATTTTTACATGTAGCCCGATTTCATTATGTCATAGAGTTTATTTCAATCAAGAGCCTGATTCCTAATCTCCATTTTTTTCATTTTTCTGTGTTCCTCATCAACATCCCATCGCTGTACATGTGTGCATCCATAATGTCATCAGACTGGTGACAAATGCTGCCTGGTTGCATTTTATATTGACAGTGTCAGCATTTACACATCACGCAAAATCCCATGAGCATATAGTCGTAATGTTCCAAATATCAATGCTATTATTTAATTCATAAATTTTGTTTTGTTTCTAGGGAAAAGAGAAACATGCAAACACCAGAGTAAGTGTCTTCTCTCCTGTTGTTTTCTTTGCCATTCCCACTTCTCAGCCGCTCATCATGCTCCACACGTGTGTGTCATGCTTTTTTCGTCTGTCATCTTTCATAGTTTATTTCATAAACGTGAAAGCTGCTTTCTAAATGAGATAGAAGGGGTAAAAACTAAAGCTAAAAAGAGTTTGAAAACTAGGATTACAGAGATAAAAACTAAACCTAAAATATTTCAGATTCAGAATATTAATTTGCCATTTATATGATGTGATTTCCCAATCTGCATTTCTATAAACCAGAGAACAGATGAAAAGACCATTCATACACGTTTTCCAGAATCTACAGTAATAACCTACCATAAAATGAAACTTCTGTGAGTATTTATAAATGCCCCCACCAGAAGCAACATTATAAAAGCTGTGGGTAGTTTTATCTTAATCAGAGAAAATAAATAGAAAAGTAGTTTATTACTTAGGGCTGTCATATTAACACAGTGCTTCCTAGCCTAGCTTAATGAAAGACTTCTGAATTTCAAAAACAGTTTATAATCTTCAGTTTTGCCATGTTAAAAGTATGTGAAATGTATCTTTTTCTGTGATAGTTTCTAGTATGCCCAAAGTGCAGTAATGTCTTGTTTTAAAAGAGTATTTTGTAACTTTTTCAGATTGGTGATTCATCAGGCTAATCTTGATTTTAAATATATGCTGTTTTGTTTCTCTTTGACCTAGCATCCAACTGGTCCATCACAGTGCTATTCAGAAGTCCACCAAGGAGCTTCGAGACATGTCCAAGAACAGAGAGATTGCGTGGCCCCTGTCCACCCTCCCCGTGTTCCACCCTGTGACTGGGGAAATGGTGCCTCCCCTGCATACAGACACCTACGATGGCACCAACATGCCCCTGATGCAAACACAGCAGTAAGTGTTCACCCAAACATTGTGATTAATGTGCATGGATATTTCTACTTACATCTGTAAAGACCAGAGCTTTTCTCGCTGTTGTTTTGTTTGTTTGTTTATACCTGGAAGAAGAGATACTGAAAGGACCTTGATAGTAGGTCAACCCTACTGTCCTGACTCAAATACGATAGAATTACTTTTAGGAAATGCTTTATTTTTCTTTACGAGTCTAAACAAGATCACATTTACCTTAATTATTTAAGGAATTGACACTAAAAATAAATTAATATATATGTTTGCTCAAAGATGAGTTAATCATGAAAAAGAAGTCTGTCATAAAGCTTGTCAAATTGACTAATTTTTATGGGTGTAGTTAGAATTACTTTTTTTTAAAAAAAGAATTACTTGGTTTTGTTGACCTTTTAAAAAATTATATTATATAGCAGACCTATGTAATCTAAACTTTTTTTGCCTCAGGACAAAGGGTGTTTAGGTTTTTTTTTGTGATCTGCCTATATGTCAAAACAAGCAGTCCCAGTTTGGGCCCAAAACACTTGTCTTATTAGTGCAAACCTTGTCTGGTGCTGGAAGGCCCGTGGTTAGAAAGACTGGAAGATGGCTTTGTGAGGGGAGGGATGGGATGGGTGGGGAAGCCAGTATGTGTCAAGAAGCTGAATTTTGATATAAAGGAATAGTGAGCAAAACCATCGCTTATTTTCAAGAACATGAATCTTGTTTATTTTAACCACATGTTGATATAGATTAAATTCAATCACCTCAGGCATTTGAAGTCACAAGTCTGTCTTTTGAGGTCCTTCTCCCTCTTTTTCACTTCACTTTTGTAAATGGAATCTCTCCTTACACACACACACACCCACACACCCACACACACACCCACCCCTCAGGATATGATATAAAAGAAAGCACACATTGACTAAAAATCATCTGGGAACTATGCTGGGTACAAACATTTTTCCATTAGAGTGTTTATTTTGCAACCAGGTGGAATGCATGGGTAATTTGAAGATTATTAGACAGACTAGACAAATTTTTCCAAAGTGCTTTAGAAATGCAAAAGTATCATGAGTATTTTTCTAAATTCTCTAACACCATTTACTTAGGATTGTGTAGACTAGAGTATGTGTGTGTGTGTGTATGTGAGAGAGAGAGAGTAGGTAATGTAAGTCTTATTAACAATGGGGAAAATTGCATATGCTTGACATTTTGAGTTTTGGAAACATTAATATATCAGAGATGGGAACAGTAAAGTCTTACAGAATCTCGTACTGAGTGGAAAGCGTGGATTTCTGTGCTCTCTGATGGCCGGTGGTCCATCTGTTATGCATCATCATAAAACCAAGTTGATTAGAGTTAGATGAGGAACATGAGTCATATTTCAAGAATATTGTAATAATGCATAATTTAACAGTCTCTCCTGCCTTTTTTGATGAAAATTATGATGACTTTATCATTCATTTTAAAGTTGAAAAGAATTTATACTTATTCTTTAAGGCTAATATTTCTCATGTTTGCCCTAGAGTGCCAATGAAATGCTGGTAGGCATTTTTCAAACATTAAATGATTGAATGTACTTGGAAAACAGGTCTTACTTGTTTTTTTAAAGCTCTAAGAGTCCTCAGACCTTAGTGAGTTGATATACTTTGTGAATCTGTGGGGAAAGGTTAGAAGAAGTAACTCTTCAAAGAATGCAGTTTGGAAAATGTTTCTATTGACAAAGTAACAATACTGCAAGATTTTAGAATACAAAACCATTTATGATAAGGAGTAGGGGACTGAGTGTATTAGTACACCAGTAAAACTCTATTGCTAATGAAGTTTCTGGGAAGAAGAAAGGCTACTGTTATTTTTTAGATACCCTTTCTAACCATATATATTGAGAACAAGAATAGTTCCTTAAAAATTATTGTGCTTCCCTGTGGTTAGGATTTTGCAATGTTGTTACTAATATACAAGCAAAATAAAGTGTTCTCTCTAGTTTCCAACCAAATGCATCTTTCTGGTCCTTCCATAACCCCATCAAGATTGTCATTATGTTGATCAGCTCTCTCAATTTGCAAATGCAATAGGCTATTCTATTGAACTTGCAACAATTTGAATGTATATGTAAGTCCAGAAACCTCCGTATTATTCAGGTTTCTGCTAATGGAAGAGCCCCATTAACCAGCACTTCTGTATAAATGGGGTACATAGATAATTGATGGTGTTCAGGAGGACTGTTCTGAGGCACTGCAGGATCATCAAGTGCGCCTGACTCATCAGAGGAAAATTAAATTACATTCTGTGTCGTTTCAGTGTTGAGTGTATATTATCTTTCTTTTATTCTTAGAAATGGATAATATGTGCACGGTCTCTATGGTAACTCCCTATAAGCCAGAATATGTGATTAACCTCATTTTCCAGTATGCCAGATAATAGGGAATTTATTATATCAGGTTTATCATAGCTATTCTGTATGCAAATTCAACTTTTACTCTTTATCTGAAAAACATCGCCATGTTTTTTAAGTTTTATTTCAGCACCTGACAGACCCATGTCAATATTTTGGCCATTTTGGTGGAACTGAATTTTCAAGATTAAAGTGAGATATTCGATGAGGTATTACAGTACTTGATAACCAGAGGCTGCCTTGTACTTATTAATTAACCCTTTGTTAAAGGGCATGCATTTCACCTTCACATGTTTGTACTAAGAGTGCTGAACTTATCATTCATAAATGATTTGGCTAGCTACAGTATTTCATGTTTATTCTTCTGACTTGACACCAGGAATATTCAGTCATGAGGATATGGGCTGAAGGGTTACCCTGGCTTCAGAGCAAAACTTGAGAATATTCAAAGCTTTCCTCCCAAACGACATGGAAGCCAGTTTGGTCTTTTAAGCAAGTCAATGAACCTCAGCGGTCTAGAGAACTTGTAACAGCCACATCTTGAGGAGCGGCCACGGGTATTGGTTGCGTGGTTAGATTTCTTTTCAGTAGAATACTTCATGGGGCTCCAGACTGGCACCATAAATTAGCTAGTAAAACATGGTCAATCATTTGCAGATGATACATTCAAGACATTGATAAGAGACAAAGTGACAGGTTAGAACTGAGATGGGCTCATCTGCCTGTCCCAATACCTAGTCCAGGGTAGACAGTGCATCTGTCCTTCCAGGGCTCTCTGATGCAGACTATAAACAGAGTAGGTGCAGAAGTCACAGCCAGGGAGCTGGCACAGGCTGGAGAGGAGATCCTTCCAGACAGGGAGGCTTTGTTCTGTACAACATTCCTGCTACTTGCAAATTTCAGAGACAGAATAAACAGGTGGTTAAACTTATCATGAATCTAGAAATATAAGGCCAGTTTAATTTAGTTCTTGCTAATGTGTTTATTCTTTAATAGACTCTTTATTTTAGAATGATTTTAGAGGTACAGGAAAAATGCAGAGATAATTCAGAGAGTTCCAGGTAGCCCTTGACCAGTTTCCCCCATTGCTAACATTCTGTGGTAGCACAGGACACAGGCACACTGGAGAACCCAATACTGGCACTTTACTAGTGCTTAGACATCAGGCGTTTTTCCAATCTCATTAGTTTTTCCACCAATATCCTTTTTCTGCTCCAGGATTCTCTCTAGGGTGCAGTAATCATCATGTCTCCTTGGTGTCCTCAAGTCTGGCAGTTCTTAGTCCTTCCTTGTGTCCCACGTCCTTGGCAGTCTTGAAGAGCACTAGCCAGGCATTCCATAGACCTGTGTCCTCTCACCCCCATGCTGCGGCTAGTCAAGTTTTCTGCCTCTGTACTAATTCATCTGTGTAGCTCAGTGAGCAAGTGTTACCATTAATTGTTGGAAAAATGTTCCCCTTTGTAGGCATTCCCCTTACTTGTTGCAGTTCATTTCTGGAATCAGGTTGTAAAGTGATTTTTTTTTTTTGAGTTGGAGTCTCACTCTGTCCCCTAGACTGGAGTGCAGTGGCACGCTCCCAGCCACCACAGCCTTGACCTGCTGGGCTCCAGCAATCCTTCCGCCTCAGCCTTCCAAGTAGCTGGAACTAACAGGTGTGTGCTACCATGCCCGGCTAATTTTTGATTTATTGTAGAGATGAGGTCTCGCCAAGTTGCCCAGGCGGGTCTCGAACCCATAGGCTTGGGCAATCCACTCACCTCAGCCTCCCAAAGTGCTGGGATTACAGACTGAGCCACCGAGCCCGGCTGTAAAGTGATTCTTAAAAGGAAATTGGCTTTGCCCAAAGAAATGTTGTTGCGATTGCGGTTATGTTTGTGACCAAAGGCTTAACCTCAAAGTTCTATTACGGATTTGACTACTCTACCTGAAAGATTACCTTTGTAATTATTTAAATGAAAAAAATTAAATTCCAAGTCACAGAATGTTAGGCTCTTAAAAGAATGTTGAGAGAGTCTAACCTAGTTCCCAGACCACAGTATGAGTCAGAGTCACCGTGGTGCAGTTATAGTACAGCTCGCAGGATGCAGGTCTGGGGTTTAGTGTCTGGTGGGAGCAGGAAGGTTGAGAATTCCTGATATAAACACTCAAGGATTTTGGTTATGGGATTGGGACACCCAGAGGCTCTGGCATTCCTGGTGGGGGTGGCGGAGGGTATCCACTGTACTGCACACCGAGTTGTAAAAAGGATCCTTTTTCCTCAGCTCCCTGTGTGGAATTGTGAGAGAGGGGTGGCCCATGCACCTCTTCTGGATAATCGGGGCTGTGTGGGTTCACAGCCTCTGGGCTTTCCCACATGTCTTTGAGCTGCCTGCAGAGTAAGAAGTGAGTGCACATCAGAAGACAGCACCAGAATGGAATGGGAAAACGCCACTGAAACCACAGAAAAGTGCTACCACTTTGTAACGTTATGCTTCAGGAAAGGGGCATTGATTGGAGGATTCCAAATATTGATTTCCTAAAAAAATAGTTTATTAATAAATTTGCAATGAATTATGTTTCCTTTTGGAGGTAGACCTGCCTCCTCCTCCTCCTCTTCTTGTACCAACATCAATACCAATCAATTTTTCCTGTGCCGGTGACATCTTTGTGAGGACCCTTATGCAATGAATAATTGGAGAAGGTGCCTCACACATATTCCAGGAAGATTGTAATTGGCTTTACAAATTTTTTCCTTATTCATTATTCTAAACATCATACCTAATCCAGGATAATTGGGTCTCCCTGAAACAGGAGGTAGGTAGGGCTTAGTCTTTTGCAATTTAGCAAATATAAAAGTAGAATTAAGTCTTCTAATTAAAGGTCATATCTAATCATTTTGGCTTTTATTTAAATATGTTTCCATTTGTCCTCTCTTAGGTAATAATGGCAAACAACTTTATGGAAAAATTCCATGAATAAAAATTTAAATTTTAAGAACATTTAATATCAATTGAAGACAATATTTCAGGGAACATGGTAATGGTTTCCTGTTGACAAGAAGTGTCAGTCAGCCAAGAATATTTCAGAGCCATTGAATTCCAAAACTCTATTACTATATCCTGTTGTTAAATGACTCCATACTAATTCAAAATAGGAATGTTTTACATTTCACTTAACTAATGTTATTTTCTTTTAACTCTAGCACAGATTCTGTGACTTTAAGCAAATCATTTTGCTTTGAGTCTTGAAGCAGGTGGCGATATAATCAGTTGTTAATCATCAACCTTACTCATAGAATTACTCTACAGGGTATCCAAGACTGTCAAATTACCTTAAAATAGTGGTACAAATAACAAATAATTGTGTATCCCCATCACTTATTTATTAATTTGCAAGTAATTTCCTTTACTTTCTTAAAGGATGAAGTTTATGCAGAGATTAGTTTATACAATTTTCTATTTCAATGCATGTGATTAATGGTAATACAATTAGAAAATAATGAATGCTAATAATTAAGTTACTTACAGTTTTCTTAAATTTTTACGTAATGCACTTTACACATAATACTCTATTCAGTTAGTCCCTGAATAACTTAATTATCCTAAACAGTTTATGACTTTATAAAGGTCCTTTCCTTGCAGGATTATAGGCCCTCAATCTGAAATCTCCGGCATCTACCCCCATGTAATTGCCCTAGGCAGTCAGCACTCACCAAAGATGGATGTGCCCGTTTTCTTCCTGCCCTCTCTGCTTCTCAACTCTTAGAGTCAGTCATGGACACATTTCCCCTATGCCTGAAGCAGAGCTCCTGTGAGTTGTGTCTCTAAACTCTTAAGTGGAATACGCAGATTCAGATATGCCCATCTTAGACGTTCTGTCACGCTCACAGGTTCACATAGAGTCACGAGCTTGGCAACCACAGAAACAGCTTAGTGTGCACACCTTGGAGACTCTGGGGATGTTGACTTTAGTGGTTTTTCTGACTGAGCACCTTTTTGCATACATAAGCACTTTTGATGTAACTCGTCTAAATTTCAGTTGACATTGCAAGTGCGTGTGTGCTTCATTCACATTTCACCACTTTGGACACATGCTGCATACCTTCTTACATCTCTCAACCAATGTGAGACACAGTCACTCTTTTGCTTATCTTCTCCAGGTGAGTCTTGCTAGTTTGTGGTGCTTTCTCAACCGGCTGTCTCTCTTCACCTCGCCGAGCCCATTGTGATTTAGAAAGTTTAGCAGTGTAGCTGTAGCAGAAGAGGAAAAAATGGAGGCTAGAGAAGAAGTGACAGGGCATGGGTTGACCTTGATCAGTGGTTTTCAGGCTGTACTTCACAGAACAGTTTGTTGGGAAGGCCAACAGGAGAGGAGAGGGGGCTCCAACTGCCTCATTTAAGTATCGATGATGAATTTGGGGTATCCTTGATCTAGGGCTTTTGAAAAACCTGTGTTTGTGTTTACCAACCACTACCTGTGTTAGGACACCTTCACATTGTACTTTCTTTGTCCTTTTTGTGTATTTTATCAAAATGTGTTGATATACTCTTAGCAGGCTAGGTAGAGCTAGAGATGATAGGGAATGAGAAGTGTTGGTGTGTGGTGTGTGTAGAAGGTGCTGTAGTTTTGAGTGCAGAATAGATCCAAATCCACTGTGCCCAAATAGTTACAGTAAAATATATCTTGCCACCCCAACCCAGATGCCATGCAATTGTGGTTTATAAATTTATAAACTGTGGTTTATAAATTTATCTTTTTACTTTTGTGACCAAAACCAATGTAAATACATAGTGTGAAATATGGAAGGAACAAACCAACCAAAAGAAAGACTCTCCTAGACCACATAAGGATACATAATAGCAAAAAGAATGTAATTATTGGGATGAATTATTAAGTTCCTCAGCTTGAATTAGAATGGAATTTGTTATTTCCTTAGCAATATATTTAAAATGGAACTAAAACTTTAAAAAGAAAATCACTCAAAGGCAGTAACAGCTGTAGACTAAATTAAGAGTTTAAACAGTATTTAGCTGGCATACATAGTTTTCCACTTTAGGTTGTTGTATTTGGAGCACAGTATTTGCCTGACTGAAACGATTCAGCTCAATGCTTTCGAACTCTATTCCTTACCGGTTTGTAGAAATGCCGTAGGGGCCAGCATGTGGGGTGAAAGAGACAAAGCAGACGGGATTCCAGGCTCCCTTGTTGAACCCGGGCAACCTCACATTTATCTCTTTTGTGCATCAGAGTTCTGCTTAGAGTTTCAATTAGCTGGAATTCCACTGCTGAAAAGAAACAAAAATCTTTGAAAATTCCCAGCTTGCATCAAACCTTAGTCTGTTGCAAGGGGCCAATTCCTAAAGTTTCTTTTACACAGAACCCATATTGTTCATTTTGTAAACTAATTTTGATTGCAAAATTTGAAATGAAGTGGGTGTATCTGGATGTTGGTGAACGTATGCGTATTGTATGAGTCTCTGTGTCTTCTCTTTTGCATGTATTCGTTTAAAACACTTGACACGCTTACCTCCAGGGATACCCTCAAACTAGGATGGTTCTCACTGGTAAGGCTCTTTGGAGCAGGTAAATATGTGTGCAGAGAAATATGGCAGCCATTGGCATGTTAGGAAAGCATCCTGAATGGTAGCCTTAGAGAGAGCAGGCATAGAGAGGCAGATCTCAAGAGGTTATTTTTTTAGTTACAAATAATGTGTTAACGTGTTCACAGCACTTCCTGTGGGAGTGTCACATTATCAAGTAGCACATGTGTGCTGGAGCAGATTTTTGAGTTGATTTTGTAAGGACAAATAGGAGCTGGGTGGGTGCAGGACACAATGGTGGCCGTGGTGGTGGGCTGACCTTCTCAAGCAGGTGGGGGACTTGGTATGAGGGACCTTCCAGGCCACTCGGAGAAACCCGAGACTTAATTGGCAGACAGGCCTAAGGAAATGTTGGAGTGTGTTATTTGAATGACATGATCAGATCTGTGCTTTAGAGGATTGTTCTGACAGTAGTGTGCATAGTGGATGATAAGGGAACAAGAATATGAACCAAGAAACAGGTCAGACCAGCTCCAAGGGTCTAGGAGAGAGAGGGTAAGGACTTTGACCAAGGCAGCAGCAGAAGAGGGGAGGGAGGAAGCAGTGTCCAGCAAGATAGGAACCAGGTCCGTGTTCCCCAGTGACTGGATGTGGGGACTGAGCACGAGGGCAGGGGTGAGGGCGGCATGTGCATTTTGACCAGTGTGCCCCTAGGGTGAATGACCAGCATCTTCTCTGGTAGAAGAGTCCGGATCTGGGATGGTGAAGGGAGGTGGTCACATGCTTTGCTCCTTAAGAATGTGAGTGTGCACATACCTTCTGGACCTAGAGCTGCAATATGCAGGGGAAGAGCACCAGCCACCGTGTTCACATCTTTATCTGCCATGTACCAGCTATGAGGTCTTGTACCTCTAAGCCTATTTCCTCATCCATAAAATGGGAACAATAATAATCCTTACCTCTCAGGTAAGGGCAGTTGTGAGGTAGAGTACCGCATGTAGTGAGAATTCCATGCATGCTTTCATGTGTGGTCATTTTTTATCCTTCTCGGACCTCAGTTTCTTCATCCATAAACTCATGAAAGGGGAAGGGGAGTTGTGCTGGATGACGTGACCTAGGGTCAGAGTTACCTGTGAAGTTGTTATTCTAACACGTCTGCTCTTTGTTTACATGTGTGTCCACAAGCACAGCTTGACTCAACAATATTAATCATTTCTAGGAACTTGCCACATCAGACTCAGATCCCCCAACAGCAGACCACAGGTGAGTGCTAAGAATAACCAACTGATGTATACGGCTGAAGCTAATAGGTGAAAAGATAGATAACTAGGGCGCTGTATAATTTATGAAGCTTCAGCTTCTTCAAGTAAGGCAAAACAGCTGTGTCATTCCTTTATCAGACTTAGAACCTCAGAAGAATAGCCTAGATTATTCCATAGATTGGCATCAGAATGATAAACACAGGGTAAATGATCTTAGAGCAAAACCATCCCTGGAGGTCCTGCCTCATTAAGAGAAGACTGAATAAAATTCCCTTCCCTCGATGAAGCGGCCCATTCTTCCCCGGTACGAAAAATTCTTAGCTTGGATGCATGCAGGATTTGTCTCGGTAAGTGAGCAGCTTGAAACTGACTCTTACAAAAGGAAACCATTGTGACTAATCACTGAGGCTTCAGAGGGATAAAGGAGAAATGGCTGGCCTGGTTTTAAAGCTGCTTTAGAAAGCTGTTCTGACATGACCAGTGACAACAAGATGGCGGACAGTTCTCGCTGGACTGTTCTCTCTCCCTGAGACTTGCTTTCTTTAAGTTTATTTCTTTCAAGTACCCCTAAACATTTTCCACAGCCAATTATTTCATTCATCTTGGTACTGAGTAGATAACTTATTCATGATTGTCTTCTAATTAGTGGTTGATTCCTCATCCTAATTGCCAGGCAACCATAGTGCCTTTGTAGCTCTTTTGGAAAAGCAAGAAACGTTTAAAAATGTAAGTCGGGTGTGGAATTCTAAGTATGAATAGTGGCATTGTGGTAGGGAAGCCATTAAGAAAGTCTCTTAAAAACTTCAGGCACATATAGAAATGTACTGGATATTTTCATTTAGAAATTATCTTCTCTGTTACTGCTTTCGGGAATTTAAGGAGATTTTCGTTTGACAACTTTTCAAAGATTCGAGGCAAGTATAATAAAGTTGTTCATCAGATTTTAATTATGAGATAATGTTTATTGGAACTTTTCCCCACAATTTTGATTACTTGTTTTAATTAAGTGCTAACATGTTTCAGCAAGACTGTTCAATATATTGATGCGGTGGTGCTATTTTGTAAGCATCCAGGAGATTGATGAAGGAACAATCTTTGTTACAAATTTGAGTCACCTTTTATCCAGTTTGCCTCTCTGTGGGGAAAAAAAAATGAGTCACCTAAAGAGAAGAAAAAGATAAATGAATCCCTGCTACCATGATTCCAAGGCTTTTTTGAGAGAGGAAAAGTTTAAAAGACTGTTTCTATGATGAAATGATAGAGCGTCTTCCTTATTGGCCTCATTGACTTCCACCACTCCTAAATATGGCTTTCTTCTGATTCTTAATTATTTCAGGCATGGAGTGAGTAGAAGGAAGACAATTTCTAGAAAAATAGTAAATATTTCTTTTGAGTATTTTAAGAAAATCCAAATTTTACTTACCCACTGGAGAAATAGGAAACTTAAGTAGTTGGTATTAGGGTAATTTATTTGATAGTCATGTGGATTTTTTTAACAAGTGCATTTGTTATTGTGCTACATCTTAGTAATGAGGAGCATTTCCAATTTAAGGACAATTTTGCCTAAGCAAATAGGATAAGAGCCAAAGAATTTTCCTAGGGGAATTTTAGGTTGTTCAATCCAATTTTTAAAATTATTTTTCTGAAACAGGTTTTGGGGAGAAGGCATTTTGCTTGAGTCAAGAAAGCTTTGATCTCCTTTTTTAGTTAACACTATGGTCTATTATCTTCTTGTTTTCTTATGTTTGTCTGCAATTTAGATCGTATTATTGACTAAGTACACCATCTCCTCTTGGTTGTTTTATTGTTATTGTGGTTGTTTTTCAGTGAGTCCCAAAATATCTAAGTACTAAAGGAAGAGAGACCACCCTAGCATTTTGTTTTGTTTACAGTTATGAAAGATTGTTGTGTTTCTGTATCTGACGCATTTAAAGCTAAATGAAGCCATACCTTCTAGAGAGAACAGCTAAATGGACAGTTGCATTTCCTCTTCTTGTTCTGTTCATTTAGATGAAAAAAATATTGTTTCTCACTTTGCAAATGATTCTGCTCTGCCTGCAAATTATGGATCCAGGGCTGTGTACGTGGTTTCATGGGCACAGCGACTTTTCTGTCCTCTTGCCCTGGTTCTCTTGGTCCTGCACAGAGCAGCCACATTGATGCACAGTTGTCACAGGACAGCCATGGGCTTTCTCCAAGTGCTTGGGCGCGCTGTACTAGTGCCAGTTTTCTTTATGAAGGTAATTGAGACACAGAGTTTGTATCTTGGATATCAAGTCATTTTATTTGTAGCTTCTTACTTGGAATTTGTCAGGGGAAAGTAGACTTTGAAGTTTGTTGCATTTAGTTGGTTGTTTCCTTTTAACTTCTCATCAAAAGTTTAAGCAATGAGCTAGCTGCTGGGGTATTTCTGGGCTTGGGCACCGACTGGGATAATGGCGCAGTGGAAAGCTGACAATCGCGCTGCCTTCTGGACCAGGCCCAAGCCATTAGGTTTGATGCCCCTTCAGGTTTTCTCGTTTTCTTTGCCTTGCCAACCCACATGATATTTCTTAAAAGCCACGATTAAAAGGTACAGTCATGCATCCCGCAGTCAGCCTCATTCTTTTTGTTTGTTGTGGGAGGAATTTTCAAACTGTACCTTTTGAAAATAACAAAACATTATAGCTTTGGTCCAAGAAGGAGAGGACTAATTTAGAATTTTTCCTTTCTTTTTTGTTTTTTTAAAAACCAAATGCAGGGAAATAATGCAGTGTAATTATTTTAGATTATGTTAAGAAGATAGACATTTTCTCCTTGCTATAATTTGTTTTGCTCATACTCGAGCATGTTTGTGCCCTGACTAACACATGTCCACACTCCTTCTTGTGTGACAGGTAAATGGTATCCCTGAAGAAAGAAAGCTGACCGAGGCCATGAATCTGTAGACAGACGCCGTGGTGGTCACTCCTGCTTCCTTCCTCTTACAGTAGTGCATGAGCTTTCCTGGCATACAGTGTGCATGTCGACAGTATTGAGTATGTATCAAATAATACCGCATAACTTTCATTTTATTAATGTATTTTTTTGTACTTAAAGCATTTTTGACAATTTGTAAAACATCGATGACTTTATATTTGTTACAATAAAAAAGTGATCTTTAAAATAAATATTATTAATGAAGCCTGATGTCTGGTGAAATTCACTTCAGAATACCTTGGGCATCTCCCAGTCGCTATGAGCGGGTTCATGTCTCATCCTCACTCAGGAAGTTCTTACCGAGTGCCTCCCATAATACATGGAATGTCTGTCCTGTGTTCCAAGTGAGCAGCCCACCTAAATAATGCTCGAACACTTATATCCTCAAGGCCTATTGTTTGGTATGCCACCTTCCGGAGTGTTCTAGAATGAACCTAGCTTTATGGAACATGGGACTGATGATAGCTGGTTCATGCAGGGCAGCTCAGGTTACATACTCACTGACTCCATAGCCAAGTATCTGGCTGCAGATACAAGCCAGGAGCTGGAATACAAAAAGATAGTAGTTACCTGCTCGTGGTGACAGGGACTGACTCCAGAACCCCAGGATCCCCTGTGGTGGCCTATGTTCACACCTTTGCAGAGTGTCCTCAAATTATTTTGATCTACTTCATGCATCTGGGCAATGATCAATGCAGCCATTGGGTCAGCAAGCAGTGCAACTTTTGATGAAGACTGAACTAGCTAGAAAGGCATCTCTTACTCTGCTCTGGGCAGATTTTGCTGCTGCCTGTTAATTGGTCAGAGGTCACAAAAACACTATCTAAATCTGATTCCAGAATCCCAAAAGACTCCCTGTTAGTGTTATGTCCAGCAACTTGTCTTCCGCTCGGGAGGATACTCTACCCTGTCATTGACAGTAGAACCCCCTGCTTCTTCCTGGGTCTTAACAGAGGTTGCAGGTTCTTTTGTTTCATGAAGATGTATCTGTTACTTGTATTCCTGTCCCAGATAACTAGGGCCTTGCCACTTGCCAGTCTCCAGGAGTAATCAACTGGAGATTGTAGATGTATTACATCAGGGTCATGGCCTAGGAGGAAGGAGGGATTGTCAAGACTACAGAGGAGTAGATTGTGACACGGCTGTAGACAGCTGACCAGCTGTTGCCCCTGCCAGGTGAAGTAACACTGTTGCTGGGAGCCCGAAGGGCAGAAGCAAAGTAAGACATCATCAGAAACTGAAGATTAGAGCCAGGAACTATATTAATCTGTTCTAGTAAAGAGGCCCTTCAGGGACTGGAACGTGCAATTGGAGTAGCACTGGTTGTTGCATGGACCACACTGAGGAACAGAGGGGGGTAGAAGTCATTGACCAGCATATCACAGATCTTTGATAATAGCCTTAATCTCAGTAATTCCTCTGAAAAAGTGATTTTGCTTCTGACATCATATTTTGATAGGAAGAGTCCAAATAATTTTCCCTTGGTTGATACTATTCTCCTAATCCTTACTTTATGGGGGGAACAAAGTGCCATACACTGAGGATTTCTGTCTCAACTGTGGACACTCATAGTGGGCAGATGACTATGTGGTGAGCTGGGGTCCAAATGGTGAACTTAAAACACCCTTTTCAGCCAGAGAAAGATCTTGCCCTAAAATACTGACTATAGTGGCTTATTGCATTTTCAGGAATTCAGGTAAACTCAGATTTAGATTCCAGATATCCCCTAGAAGTTTGTGATCTTTTCACCCTCCAGGGTATACTCACCCATATAAATGGCACCCTCTCTTTGGAGAAAGTCTGGGTTCAATTACCACACAGTGTATATCCGAGGTTGTGACATTTCTCATTATTCCAAAGGTTCCATGTCTGTAAATGATGCCTTAGAATTGACTAACGGACTGTGATTCTTGAGAACACTGAATTTGGTAAGTCCTTTACCCACCAAGCTCTTACTTGCAGGGTGCATCAGTAGTATGACTGGGCAGCAAGCAATAAAGAATTGTTGCTCCATAGACAAGTACCAGTTGCAGCCATGAAACTGAAAGCCCCTAAATACTTAGGTCACAATACACCATTAAAATTTCAGATCTTTAAGTCTTCACTGATGACAGAAAAGAGCATTGGGTAAAACTGCCAAGGCTAAATTTGAGGCCAAGAGAATGCTTAAAAGACAATTACATGGAAAGTAGCATCAAAACCAGCTCCTCCAGGTCCTCCAAGTACATTCACAGCAAGCAGTTGAGGTATGTGAGACTCAGGGTAATGGTCTAGGAATTGCATTCTCACTTCTCATGTCTTGATGATACGCAGTTGAGTGAATGAAGAAAAACCTTCAATCAAGCCCTCCTGAGATGGAGCAGCCTCACAAATTTACATTTTCAAATTTCCTATGAAACACCCCTACCATTTGCTTATTTATCGAATGCCTAATATGTTAATATGAGTTAGGTGGTGTTCTAAGGATGCAGTGGGGAGCCAAACTGGACACAGGTTTTATTCTCATGGAGTTTACAGTCCAGTAGGGAACACAGACATCAATCAAGTAGTCATACAAACAAATGTCAACCTGCTATTGTGATCAATGATATGAGGGGAAAGCATTTGATGCTATAACAGCCTACCGCAGGGAAGTCAACCCAGTCAGCAAGGTCAGGGAAGTGTGCCTAGAATTTGTACTGATCTCAAGAGGATTCACAGAAATTCATAAGATTAACAGGCAGATGGAGGAGCATTATTTAAGCCCTTTTGGGAGAAGAGATCCTAGTGAGTACAGGGTTCTATCAAAAGTCCAGTGTTGCCAGAGTATGGAGAACAGGTAAGGAATTGTGGGTGAAGGGTGGGGAAGATGAGGTCCAAGAGGTAGGTAGGACCAAACCATGCATGAACTTGGAAAAAAATTAAGTCTGAAGGATTTTAAGACTGAAATTTGATGTGATCATAGGTTGCATTTTTATACAAACAGTCCAACAATAATAGAATGGAGAGAGCAGGGGGGCAGAGTGGGTGTGGAGAAACCAATTGGGAGTCTAGTGTAGACACAATTGGAGAAATGGTAACTTTGACTAAGATCATGGTGGGAGACGTGAGAGCTATTTAGGAGGTAAAATAGACAGCGGTTGTTGGTACATTGATATTTTGGAAATGGTGTTAAGGAACAGAACCAATTCTGATGTATGGATTTTTTCTTGATAAAATGGTGTTATTATCCATTTTGATAGGATGACCATAGGAGAACCAGGATGGAAGAAAATCATACAAGTTTAGTTTTATGCACGGTGAACTTGTAGTGCCTTTGAAAACCAAGAGAAGTAGGCAATAGGATATTGAATTTGAGACTCAGAGTAGATGTCTAAACTTGTGCTATGATTGGTGAGACACTTCTGGGTATTTGTAGTCATTGAAGCCATGGGAGTTGATAAGAAAGTCGGTGCTCAGTATGTCACCTGAACATTCGTGGGGCAGCCAAAGGGTGTTATAGTTATTCCCCCAATAGCCAGCAAAAGGGGTAGAGTACCTGAAGTTGGGTATTTGCCAGAGTCTAATGATCAGAGAAAGTCTGAGACGGTATTTTTGTTCATATTTCACAACATTAAAATGTGGTGTTACTTATTAATTTTGTAAAAATTTCATTACTTTATCAGTCTATTAAAAAGTTTTAAAAGACTGTTTATGTACTACAGGGATTTCTGTGATAGATCACCTCACTTTATATTCAGGTAATAAGGCACAGTTCATCTTAGGTAGTTTATCATGTATTTTTTGTATTATGTTTAATTTTTATATGATTAATATTCTCCTTATTACTTTAATTTGGGGGTCCATGTGTGAACCTAAAGCAAATTAAGTGGTGAAACAGTGAGGAAAGATTGAGGTAAACTGGCCTAGCAGAACAATGTACCTTGGTTCTTTATTTTTAACATCTTAAAATATCTTACTGGATTATCAAAACCATTTCATTTATTCATTGGGTGACTATTTAGGACCTTTTTATGTTTTAGGCATTAAATTATGCAGTGGTGAATTAAACATAGTGTGTTATGGAAGACAGCAGACAAAGTCTAGTATATTGTCTGGCACTAATTGGTGCTAAATAAATATTTGTTGATAGAATTAACGTAATTTTTAAAGGTTACAAAAGTTAAAAAAAAAAACGTGTTGAGAATGGGGAAAGGAAGCGACTTAGATTAAATGATCAGAATAGGCCTGTCAGAAGATAAAACATTTAAGATAAAATTTAAAAAATAATCATATGCCAGTCATGCTTAGCAATCTTGTCAGAGAAAATAACATGAGCACAGACCCAAAGACAATATAATTAAAATAGGCGGTTGTAGTTTCTGCCCAGTATCAACATTGCATCCTTCTGGACAAGGTTTAGATCTCTGACCCAGTAGAATCTGTGAGCTATAATGGACTTTAATCTGATTAGTTGAATCTAGGGTGAACGTAAGGCCAACAGAAAAAAAAAGAGGACCAGCAGGTTGGTCGGAAGCCAGTTCTTTATGTACTGTGGGCAGTGGGGTTGGGTGACACTTCAGTCTCAAGCACAAGAAGAAGCTCTGTGTGGCTACAGCATACCGAGTGAGGGGAAAGCAGGATTAAAGATCATTCTTGGGATGTAAACAGAGTCCTACTAGTCTTTTAGGCTTTGATTAAGAAGTTTGAATTTCATTCCAAAAACTTTGGAAATAAAGCATTTGAAGTAACATGATTCAATTTGCATTTAAAAAGTACTGGGCTTGTGAAGATGGTGAAGTAAAGAATACCAAAAGTTCTCTCCTCAATAAATGAAAAAACTGGCAAAAATTTGTCAGCATTACATTTTCCAGAGCTCTAGAAGTTAACCAAAGGCTTATAGCAGTGTGGGGAGGGTTTACTCGATAAAATGAAACAAAACAGTTGAATCTTGGTAAGGTCAGCAAACTTCATGAGACTTTAACTGTCCTATTCTCATCCTTCTCTCTCCAGCACCATTGTGGCTTTAAAAATAAACATCCTGCAATCGTGGTGAAAACCAGCAGTCTGGTAGCCACCAACAGGGACAGAATAAAGTTGGAGTTCCTTCAAAGCCTCTATTAAAGATAATTATTGTTATTTTACCTATCTGGTGGCTCCTTGGATGACCCACTTGCAAGGCTGCCTTTCTTTATTGGACCTCAGAACTCTCCAACTATGAAATCCTTTTACTTGGGGCATTTGGC